ATATCAAATTCGTCAAGATGTTTGTAATTTAGGGAAAGAGACAAATAACAGCACATTTCGATTGTACACTATACTACTACGGTACTACTACGGTCACTACTATGATCACTACTACGGTTGCCACTACTTTGGTTACTACTACCACTACTACTACTTCTACTAATACTACTACTACTACTACTACTACTACTACTACGACTATTACTTCTACTACTTCTATTACTGCTGCTTCTACTGCTTCTACCACTACTATCACTACTAGTACTACCACTAATACTATTACTACTACTACTACTACTACTACTATTACTACTAATACTATTACTATTACTACTGCTACTACGTTTACTATTACTATTACTAGTATTAATAATATTGCTACTACTACTACTACTGCTACTACTACTTTTACTACTATTACTATTATCTCCACTACTACTTCTACTACTATTATTACCATTGCTACTTCTATTGCTACTATTTGCTCTATTACTACTGGTAATACTAATTCTAATTCTACTATATACTCGTATATTCATATATAAATAACATAAACCCTGCTCAGAAACAAGTCTTTGCATGAAGATTTATCAAGCATCACCTTATAAGAAAACAGTGTTGACTAACAGATTAATTATCACCTGATTAAATGTCATCATATTAATAAATCCACTTACTAAAAGAAGATACTAAGGAGAAGTACCTTCTATATAACTAGTTAAATAATATAACATATAAGGTGAAAATTATATATAATTCTATACTCTTCATATCATTATTTTTCTATTGCAATAAGCATGCTCTTGTACTGAACATACATCACTTTTCCAAGTAAATAAATTATAGTTTCTATAGTAGTCTATAGAAACTTTTTGTAGAGATACATATATAACACAACACTTTATACATTCGCTCCCACCCACCATTTTATGAAATAATTAATCATATTTGAGTATTTCTCGAGTCCTTTGTCTTCAAATACTGCGCTCATTTCTGATCAAAAAAGATTCTTTTGTCAGAAGAAAATGGCACCCCATCCGCGACTCTTCTTGAAGAATCTTTTATAACGGTTCTCTAATCAGTTTCGCATCATTTTCGAGTCTCCTTACACTAAACCACATCGCACATGAAGTTAATCAGTTTTTATTCATTAAAAGTGCTCGAATAAGACTCAGCAAGGTGATTTTTATTAAAATAATCTTCCAAATACTGAGTGGGCTTGATGAAACAACAACTTTTAAATAAAATTTTACTTCAGTCATCTTCAGGAGATATTCATTTCAACGCCCTTTAAAATCACGATGTGCATTTTGTAGAAAGATGTATCTTCGACTTTAAAATAGACTTTAGCTTCGGCAATTCCTTCAATGGACTTAATTTTTGATCTACGAATAGGTATTAGTAGCTGGAAGACAGATCCAAAGAAAATACTAAGTAGAAAACTAATTCAAGTGCTATTTTTACAACTTTCTTTGTTATTATTATTAACTAATGACTTCCTTTAACTCCTTCAGCGAATTATCTTTAATGGTTATATTGAAATGATCCATAAAGCTTCGTGAACAGAAGAAAGTCACAAAGAGCTTTTTCGTGTGAGCACCGTCCTGGTTTGATCACTTTAGTTCAGTTTTTTTTACGCATGTTTTTTAAACTGTATATTCTGAATATTTTTTACATAGAGTAAATATGTATGTCTATATATTCCATTTTTATGCCTTTTAGTTTTCAAGAAAATTTTATTAATACAAAACAAAAAAGAATATCTGCGTCTCAAAGGTGGCATCTTTTATGTTTGTTTTTTAAGTTATAAACTCCAGAAACTTTTAAATGCATATTAATTATTACCTATAAAAAGATAGTTAAGTTTATAGTGTTAGACATTAAAAGTACATTAAAGAAGTATATATACTTCGGCAATTGCACGTGGAAAGAAAAGCTTATAGAATTTTTTTCATTTTTTTCAGAGTAATATTTTCTTGGTATATGAGTAGCTCTAAATTATTATTGATTATCAAACTGAAATCTTAATTGTGGCTTTCAAATATATAAAAACCTATGAAAAACAAATTTTTTTTAAATTAATTGCATATGTTAGAGTATTAAAAGACAACAATATATTTTTATAAAAATACTTATACTTAAAATAAATACTTGGTACTTAGGTTAGGTTAGGTCAGGTTATGCTGGCATATCAAAAAGGTCACGCGTAGACCATTAAGCTCCATTGCGATACCAAATCAGAGTCTTAATTTTTTAGCGATAGTGTGCATCGCTTAGGATACGCGTATTATTACGAAATTTATTAGGATCTCAACAAAAACCTGAGGTATGTGTTCCAGAGCTATAAAACTGACAGCCCCCAAGTAATTTTGTCGAGTTGTCGAAAGAGTCGGGCAGTTACACAGTAGATGCTCCAGGGTTCCCTTTGCATCCGGCTTGTTGCATTTCCTACAAGCATCGCTGTGAATAGGTTTCGTTTTTGCGCGTTGTGATGCGACCAGACAGTGACCTGTCAATACACCTATTAATATTCTACAGTTCCTTCGGTTAGACAATACAATATCTGTGTACTTTTCCTCTCATATGTGTCTACACATGATCCTAACTATTCTACAGGTGGTTATTTTTCGCCACTTTCCTCTGCTCTCCTTGTCTAACTGCTATGATCACAGGCCACTTGGTACTTGCGATCTCAAACAATTTTTTACGTTTAATTAAATATAAGAAATAATTCCAGGACCACTGATGATGGGTATTTGGCAATACTTAAAATAGCTGTATAGACAGCCAAACATTCAATTAATTAAAATAATATAAAAATAATTCTTGTTGTTGTAATTCAGTACATACGTATACTTACGCTATTCAAAATAGTTTATGGAAGTACTTACAAACTTTATAAGTCTCAGTTGTAATTTTCGTTGCGATTTTGTCCTTCTTCTTTAATTGTTTATTTAAAAATTGTCTGTTATACAATCATATAAATTACAATATGTCAGAAATAATATTTTTGAAGTTCTCTCTGTCTTTAGTAGTATGTACCAAGTCTCAAATCGTTCTTAACCCAGTCCAGTGTCGGATGTTCCTCAACCAAGAACACAGCGATGCATGTTTTCTTCCCATGCCGCGTTTGCGTTCGATTCTGCCTTCCGCAATCAGTTGCATTAATTCATATTTTGAACCTCGGATGATATGACCAAAATATCTCGTTTTTCTTATTTTGATAGTTTTTAGGAGTTCTCTATCTTTCATTAACTGCAACAAATTACCAAAGTGTAATGACTATATGAATTTTTTACTTTATAAAGTTTAAAATATATTTTACAATAAAAATTTTATTTACACTATATATAAAATTATTTTATTTTACATTCTACTATTACAAATATAAAGAAAAAGAAAAGTTCTTACAAGCACTACTACTACTTCATTAACTTCATATGAGATAAGATTCAAGCCAAAAGTATTCTATGAAGTTGCGCAATCGGAATTCTTTAAGAATTACACAATACCAAAAACCAGAAGACCTGCCCTACTCCTATTTGTTTATATCTTTTCCAATTTTTTAAACCAGCAGAAACTACAACAATAGCAACAACAGCAGCAGCAACAGCAACAACAACAACGATGATGACTGTTATTTTGCGCTCAAAAAATTCTAAACACGATTCGACCAGACACCGAATAGGTACTCAGTCAGCCAGCCACACCGTATACTATCTTTTTATTTTTAATTTGTACTTTACATATTATAAAAAAGATACTTTTTTGTTTTGAAGTTAAAATTTTTCCAACGTTCCAACTAGCGAACTCCTTTTGTTATTGTTGTTATAGTCGAGCGGAGTAGACTTTGGGTTGCTGACTTTCAGTTAATGATGCAACAT